ATCTAAACCAAGGTCGGTAACAGACCTTAAACTTTATCAAGTAATAGCAATATAGCTAAGCAACTTAAGGCATGCTATATTTATTTATCATTTAGCACATCTTAGAATATAAGGCATATCCCATCTTAATATTCTAGTGCTTGTGCCCATTAGGTATTCAACCTAAAGTATACCAAATATATATTGTATCATCACTTAACAATTCATGTTTAAATCTAGAAATTCTCAAAATTCCTAGTTCATATAAACTAATTCTCTAAAATTTTTGAAGTAACTTAATGTATTAGAATACTAGGGTTTATCACTACCCAATACCCCACTTAAGTGTTTCCTAAGGTTTGTATCCATATATTTACAATGATTCCAGTTCATATATTGAACTTCCAATAGTTTAAGTCTAAATACTAATCCATGGGATTTAGTTCACTTAAACCACTGCTCTGATACCACGATTGAAAGAACTCCTTTCTATACTTTCATATTTCTGAAAGACCCAAACTTTCATACTTGACAATATAGTTACTTCAAAACATGCTACATGCATATTTATAAAATAATATTTTACATTGATAAAGTCATTACAAAAGATTGGATACAAACCGACTATGTATTAATATTTTACATAACTACCAAGGATATTGTAATTTTATGCAAACATAAACTGAAGTACAAAAGTACTATTACAAACTATTCTAAGTCTTCCAACTATACTGGGTGCTTATTGCCTACATTATGTTAAAACATTGGGAGGGGTAAGCGATAACGCTTAGCGAGTTCAATAATAGATACAATATAACGTTATGCCATATATATACCAATATGGCAAAAGCAAATAGGAGCAAGGAACAACAAATGCATAATGTGATAAGCTTTCCTTAACAATCATTAATTTGATTCAAAGATATACAATCATTGAAACATAACAATTTCCATACTTGATATACATCAATAATGCTTTGGCCCAAATGGCACAGAAGACATACAACTTCGGATTAACCTTTTGGTAGATTTCAGGTTTTCACGCCCTGTCTAACCCTTTTTGCCAATACCATAGAATAGAAATCATTCTCTTACAGAGACATGTTCTACATGGCCAGAGGCTACATACCAGTACCAATATGAATCTAAGTCCTTTCACTGATCACATGGTCAAAAGTATTACCTTGCTATTAAACGTAGCGAATAAAAATTAACACGGGAAAATACTCAGGAATATTATTTTGCTAGAATATCTAGGCTTTCAGCCTTATCTTAGCATACTACCGAAGCCAAAGTGATGCCTACGTCATACACTTCATGGTCAACGGTTCATACCAATACCCAAGTGATGCCTATGTCATACACTTCAAGTCAGAGGTACAGCTTTGCTATAAAAATAGCGGAAACAACAACTCGAGATGATAACATGGAAAAGCACATAACACATATAACACATAACATACAATTGTTCCTATATATTAAACTCACCTTGAATTAACCGGGGTCAAAATAATAATTTGGGCAGCACCTCGGCTCTAAATATGACTTTCGTCGTTGAAAACCGGGAGTTTTCTTGAAAACCGGGCCCTGCGAGGGTTGGGCCCTGTGAGGGTTGGGCTTCGAAACCGGAAAGGGGTGAGGACTTCAAACCAATCAGAGGGTGCCACGCGAGGCTGCGGTCCAATCAGAAGATGCCACGTGGATCAACACTATTCATGCGAAAATTAAATGAAAAATGTGCCCAATCTTGTAAAATCCATAACTTTCTCATACGGACTCCGTTTTTGACGTTCTTTATATGCACGCGTAGAGAAAATTATGCTCTACAACTTCCGTTTAGACTTCGTTGGAAATTTTTGACTTTATTTTTTGTATTATTATTTTTAACAGACCGGGACTGGTAAATCCGTTAAAAATTCATAACTTCTTCATCCGACGTCCGTTTTCGTCAGACTTTTTACCGTTGCACTGCTAATGACGAGACCTTCAATTATCGTTTAGGTTGTTTCGGCTAAAAATCACTCGATCTAAAATTCGAGTTTTTAGCTGTCTACTGTTAAGCTAAAACTTAGAAAAATCATAACTTCCTCATACGAAGTCAGATTTTGGCGTTCTTTTTATCAAAATTCTCAGTTTAATGAATACTACGACTTTCATTTAGATAAATAAGGCTAAAAGTAGTTTATCAAAAACTCACTTTTTATGTTATTCGGCACTGTGCCGGTTTTATCGCGGATCTTCGATTGGTCATAACTTCTTCGTTATAACTCGGATTTCGATGAGGTTTTCGCCTATATGTTTCTAACGAGATTATCTACAACTTTCAATAATAAAATTTTACTTATTTTAAATTTTATATTTTCGCTAAATTTCACTATTTGGCTTTTAATTGGAATCTCATAAGACTTCCAATATTTTATGAGTGATTCTAAACATAGTTTTACTTCATTTCTAGTAAAAACTATCTGTTAGAACTTAACACTCAATTTCTCATAATATTTCATAATATTATTAACTTTTTAATTTACATAACACGATTTCAAAACGTGTATGTTACAGATGGTTCTGAAAATATCTAGAGGAATTAGATTACAAGCACTTAGGCGTGGATTATCAGAACCTTGTTTCATCTTCTATCTTCTTTCTTCTATATTATGGCTTATGCTATGATATCAAGTTATTTATTTCTCTGTACAAATTATAAATTAAAATTTATGAAGCTTTAATACTACACATTTTGAATTGTGACCGGTGTAGAGTTTTTTCGCGTGCTGCATTTCCTTTATGTGGGATTTGCTCTTGTTGGTATTTCTAAGATGGTAACCATTGATCAAAACAACTTAATTCATACCTATATGGTGGTCAGTTGGTACTTAGTACAAGGACTCAAATTTACTATATAAAATACATTTTGTGGCGGTCAATCGACACCCATAAGGGAGGACGGAGTCAAGATCGGGTTCGTCGGCGGTTTAGGGCGGTACCGGCGGGTCATGGCCCCTTCAATGGTGGGTTCTAGCGGTTTAGGGGTGTGGGAGCTCTTGTGTGGGTTGGTGAACCCGCTTCAATCTTTACTCATGCATTAAGGACTTGGAAATGAGATAGGACGTATGTGACCAGCTTTACCTTCAATGGAATCTTCCCCATCGTCAATGGCTTTGATGCTATCAAAGAGTCTCAACAACACTTTTGATTGAAAAAGACAAAAAAAATAAGAGAGCTCTAGGTTTAAAATAGTTTGTTTTTTCAGGGCCAAATTTTATTAAATAGCCTTTTGGTGAAAATGAACTTACGAGCCCAAATTTTATTGTGCATCCAACAATTATACATTCATAAATGTTTTTTTTGGTGTTTGAAATTATATATTTAAAATAGTTTTTTTTATATAAGTGTTCATAAAATTATGGTATTAACATGCATTTATGAGAAAGTATTTGGATCACATGATTAAAAACATAATAAATTAATTTGTATGTTTCTAATTATAAAAAATAGTAACGTAATAGTGGGTTGAGTGAGTTGGGAAAGATAGAGTTTTTCATGTATTGTGGGTTGAGAAATATAAAAGATAGAAGATAGAAGAGAAGAAAAGATGGCGTGAAGTTGATGTGACACTGGATTGAGTGAGTTGGGAGGAAATGACTCCCTCCTCCCTAACAAAGCTTCTCCTCAGCGTCTTTATCTAAAATTAAAGTACACTTTGATAGTGTTGTTTCACAAAATCACAATTTCTGTAATTCCACATCGGGCGTTATTGTTAATGGTTGCATGTCTTTTTGAATGCTCTAGATTAATTTTTCTGGTTGTTGCTACTAACATTGGATTTGGTGGTTTCTTCAAGCTTGATTCATTATTATTGTTTATGATTTCACTTTTACAGGATAATTCATATACATACACACTCTATGACTCTACACAAGTTGCTTGGTGATGCTCGATTTGGCATTTTCATGGTGTTGGGTATAATCAGTGTTGTTGGTTCAGAGGTCATTGACATTGGCAAATTTTCTGAAGTGATCCAACTACTTGGACAAAAAAAATCCCAAGTTTCAAATTTTCATTGTCGATTCCTTGGTGTCGACATACATGTTGCTTTCAGTCTATTCCATTATATTTTTAATTGTTGGTGTTGGGTTAAGCAGTTTAACAGGATTTGCTGTTTTTAATCTTTATTGTGTTGTTTTTGGCATTACACTGCCTAGTATATTGGGCTCTTTCTTCTGTTTCTCAATTATAATATTTTTAACAATAGCCATAAATATAAACAGCTCTGTCAAATAATTGTTGTATACACTCAATTTGTTGAGAGATTTTACTATTCAAATATTAGATTATTCATTATTCTTTATGGATAACTTCAATCATCTTTTAACTGTTTTAGTTATCATCATACAACGAATGAGAAGACAAACCGGCAACAAGTTGTGCCGTTAAGCCCTTTTGTATGGTAAAACCAATTCTTTTGAAGACTACATCCATAGATCTAGGGGGTATAACATCTTAACCACAACTATTTTTTAGAGTCGATAAGAAAATATTACGCCGTTTCCAAAAAAAGATAAGAAAATATTACAGAAATAGTCGTAGTATTTTGTACATACATCTTAAAGTTTGTACAAAGGCAAATCGGACATTCTATAAAAAAGTTAACTATATAATCCACATTTTGTGGAAAGTGTAGATATTAATATGGTTAAACATATTTTGGTGAATTTAATTATGATTGTTGATTTATAAATAGTTGAACTTATTATGCTACATTGCTACTATATGTACGGATCATTCATTTAGAAAAAAGTCAAATATGGGGTAGACATTCATACAAGGTACAATAAACAATTAGGGGATACCTACAAAATTAGCTAAACATAAACTATGTTTCTGTCGGTTTCTCTTCCGATCCCTATAAAAAAGTCAATCTGTAAATTCAGCAAAAGATAATATTAAAAAATAATAAATTACAAAGTAAAGCTAAAGCATGAGGGTAGGATACTTTTATGTCGACGAACAATACATTCATCTCAAGCATTATTGATGAATTTACAAATTCTAGTACGCAAACTACACGCATTTGCACAAGAAGGGTTGAATAAGAAAAACACATGTTCCTCTCCTTCATCCTCCACCACTTCCAAATCTCCTTTCCACCCACTTTTCTCGACCAAATCTTTGTAATACAATCCCCTCTCTCTCATCAAATCATTCCCACCGATAAAAACCATCATCTTGGAGCAACCCATACCCGATATTTTCGGATCTATACCCGGGTTGATCAATGGGTCATCCAGCCCGCTGCTTCCCGGGTGCGCCACAGCCCATGCGTCATTAAAAAGAGCAATCAACCGGGGTTCAAGAAAGTCGGACTCCTTACCAACCCGTTCCTTGCCCCAGAAATACGGGTGAAACAAGATAACACCCTGGAACCGTAAACCGGCGGGGGTATCCGATCCGACCCGGATCGCCATGTGGTGTGCTATGTTACCTCCGGCACTGTCGCCGGCGAGGAAGATGTTTTGAAGATCGGCGTATTCATTCAACCATGGCTCTGGACCATTTCCATTAACATGCTCGGCAACCCACTTGATCGCTTCCCATGAGTCTTCATAAGCGATCGGGAGAGGAAACTCCGGCGCTAGTCTGTAGTCGACGGAGACGGCGACGACGTTGGATTCTGAGACGACGAGGTTGAGGAAGTTGTGGTACAGAGAGGACTTAGCAGATTCGATCATAAAACCACCACCGTGATAGAAGATTAAAAGCGGGAGTTTGTGGTGGGGGATTATGGTTGTGGTTTTTGGAACGTAAAGCCTAGCAAAGACGTTGTTCTGTGGTGAAAAGACGACGTCTTTGGAATTAACGCCGGAGGAAGGATCGACGCCGGCTGGAACAATATCAGGAACTTGGAGTTTGTGGATTCGACCGTCTTCGAAAATACGAATTATACCAGGGATTTCTTTGATGATTTCGTTGGTGGACGATTCCATGTTGAAAATGAAAGAAGCTGACTATAGATATTACACATATATAACTATAGATATTGTACATATATATGGGATATCTTATTCTTAACCTGATTTTATTATTATGAAGGGACCCTACAATAATTATATATATATATATATATATATATATATATATTATATATATATATATATATATATATATGGCATATCTTATTCTTAACCTGATTTTAGTATTATGCAGGACCCTGCAATAATTACTTAGTAGTTGACTTTCACATTATTTTTTAAATTCCAGGTTTTTTTTTTCAGCTTTTTTCATTGAAGACCCGTAATGTCCAACTTTATTTTTGAAAAATATGTTTCATTTCTAAGAATATTACAATGTACAAACTGCAATCAATAGTTATATTGTAAATTGAAGAACATTAATCCACTTGATCAAACAAAAATAATAAGGCTTGTATATAAACAAATAAAATAAGAATGATTAAGTCATATGTTAACCAAAAATACAAAATAGATCTGTTAAAATCTCTTGACTTCCCGGAGCCATGATCCTCAACCACCGTCGTCGATTTACTGCCACCACTAACTACTGCCATCGTCGTCGGAGAAGAGAGGAACGAGAAAGAGAAATACGGACTGAGAAGAAAGGAACGAGAAAGAGAATCCGACTAAGACTAACCACTGACATCGTCGTCGGAGAAGAGAAGAAACTCCACTGCTACCGTCGCCGGAGAAGAGATGAAACGCTACTGCCACCATAGCCTGAGAAGAGAGGAAACGTCACTGTCATCGCGTGAAGTTGCCTAAAACATTGTGTGAGAAAAAGATTGTCGTCGTAAGAAAAATATAGTTGCCTGAGAAAAGATAGTTAGTTGTATCTCTCTCATTGCCGGAAGTCGTCCCAAATCGCCTGAAAATCACATGAACGACTGCCAAACAAACTGATCCAAACAACTTAATTCATACCTATGGTGGTCAATTTGTACCCAAGGACTCAAATTTACTATATAAAAGACACTTTGTGGTGGTCAATCTGACACTCATGACAAAGCTTCTTCGCAACGCTTTATCTAAATTTGAAATACACTTTGAATTTTAGTAATTGGTTGGTAATCATGTAGCGTTGTTCACAAATTCACAATGGCTCAAATTCCACATTGGGCGTTATTGTTAATGATTGATTGCATGTCTTTTTGAATGCTCTTAATTAGTTTTTCTGGTTGCTGCTACTAACATTGGATTTGGTGGTTTCTTCAAGCTTGACTCATTATTATTGTCTATGAGTCACTTTTAGAGGATAATTCATAATTTCATATACATACACACTTTACACAAGTTGCTTGGTGATGTTGGATTTGGCCTTTTCATGGTGTTGGCTATAATCGTTGTTGTTGTTGGTTCAAAGATCATTGACTTTGGCGGATTTTTTGAAGTGAACTGATTGGACAAAAAAATCTAAATTAAGTTTCAAATTTTCATTGTCGATTCCTTGGTGTCGACGTATCTACCGCTTTTGTCTATTCCATTGTATTTTTAATAGTTGGTGTTGGGATTTAGTAGTTTTAGAGGATTTGTTGTTTCTGGTCTTTGTTTTGTTGCGTAGTATACTTTCTAGATCCTTTTATGTTTCTTAATTATTATCTTCAACAAAAGATAATATTAAAACATAAAAAAATTACAAATTAAAACATGAGAGTAGGATACCTTTATGTCGACGAGCAATACATTCCTCTCAACTCTCAAGCATTATTGATGAATGTACAAATTCTATTATGCAAAGTACAATCATTTGCACAGGAAGGCTTAAATAAGAAAAACACATGTTCCTCCCCTTCATTCTCCACCACTTCCAAATCTCCTTTCCACCCACTTTTCTTCACCACTTCTTTGTAATACAATCCCCTCTCTCTGAAAAAGTCATTCCCACCAATAAAAACCAGCATCTTGGAGCAACCCATACCCGATATATTCGGGTCCATACCCGGGTTGATCAACGGGTCATCCAGCCCGCTGCTTTCCGGGTGCGCGACAGCCCATGAGTCTCCCACAAAACCAATCAACCAGAGTTCAATAAAGTCAGACTCCTTACCAATCCGTTCCTTACCCCAGAAATACGGGTGAAGCAAGATAACACCCTGGAACCGTAAACCAGTTGGGGTATCCGATCCGACCCGAATCGCCATGTGGTGTGCTATGTTACCTCCTGCACTGTCATAGCCCAAAAGTCCTTTTTGGAAAAGTTACAAAAAGTCAGGTTTTCTGACTTTTCTAAAAAGTTCATTTTCCTTGTATCAAAACTCCAAAAGTAGCTTTTAAAACTAGTTTTGCCAAACATTTTTTGCTCTTTTTCTTTTCCAAAAAGGACTTTTGGCTGTGAAAAGCTAGACCAAACACCCAAGAAGAAAGAGTTTTGAGAAAGGGAAAGTTAAAAGTGTTGGAATAAAGATAAAGATGTGGTAGAAAAAGTGTAGCTCTTGTCCATGTGAAGAAGTTTTGTGAAATTAATTTACGCTTTAACTTTAAACGATTAAATATAGAAAAAATTGTAAGAATGGTCCCTGTGGCATATCAAAACTAGCAACTTTGGTCCAAAATGAGTTTGGCTCGCAAGGATGGTCCAATAGTTTCGTTTTGTTGCGAGTTTAGTCCAATTTCCTATGAATGTTTTTATAATGACGGATTTGCCCCTAATTATTTTATTTTCCATTTTTCTTTTATTACAACAATTAAAAATAAAATATCTCTCTCTCTTACTCTCTCTCTCTCTCTCTCCCTCTCTCTCTCTCTCATTAATGCCCATTCCTTCCTCATTACTTTTCCTTAACAAAAGCTCTTTAATC